CTTAGAAATCATGGAGACCTRGTATTCATGTTAATCTACACCGAAATGCCTTTGAGAATACATTTTATCCTTAAAATCAGGGGAAAGAAGAGGAAATAAAGGTTTAAGATAACTTCATTATTCTTAAAATGTGCTTTTTTTCATTGTTGTATTTTTTTAAACCAATTGCTCCTGGTGGGATTATGAAACGAGCTTGCATCTTCCATGTTCCACAGCAGAAAAACAATGGTATAAAATTAATTACATAAGATTATCACCCAGAGTTTTAGAGTTTTAGAGCATTCATTTGTTGAATTCACTGAGCTACAGCCATTTTAGTGGTGGCTATCTTTGTTTAGTCATCCTGAATTGGAGTTAACTAGTAGTAGACGAACACCCATTGGTTACTTTTTTGAAATTTTAGTTAAAACTTGTGCAATAGTTCWTGAGCTATGTTGCTGAAGCTACAATACAGACAAAAGCAAAACGTTATCACCTTTTGCCAGCCAAGTGGTAAATATTAAATAAGAGTAAGTGGTAACTTTATTTTCTCCTTTGTTYTCTATTGTTTCATCTTTACCCAAACTCTTCATAAAATCCCCATGTYGTGCATTAAAATTGTCCTAAAAGGTCACAAACGTTGCTTTGGGCATAGACCTGTTAACCTTTGTGATGCTCTTGAGCTCTTAATTTTTTTTTCCACCCGCATTCAGTTTGCCCCCCTTGGATAAATTGGGAAAGCTGGCAAAGCAAAACAAAATGTCCTTGTGTTGTCTCCAAGGCGATAGTGCCGACAGACTGTGGCTGCTGTCTGCTGCTGGTTTTCTTTTCTTTTTTTTTCTTTTTTTGTCTGTATGCTCATCTCATGGAAAATACATTTAAGTCTGCTCAAGGGCACTCTCTCTTTCCTGTGCTCTGTCTCTTGTGTGTGTCTTCAGAGGTGTATTTAACATGCTGTACATAGACAGAACATTCTGGAATATAATTTACCGTGGGGACTCGATGGGATCATCTCAAAGTATGGAATTACATTCTAAACATGATTCTCAATGACTTTGAATTAACTTCGCGCTGTGATAGACATTTCCTCGAGTCATATTTCTTGGTACTGTCATAATGCTTTAGGCACTGAGAGGAGGAATGAGAATTTCTTTTTAATTATAATTACTTTAGAAGGATGGGTAAACCAAAGATCATCTTACTTTCTCTCTGCTTGGGATAAAGACGAGAACGAAAATTCAAGCAGATGGAAAAATGTGTCATTAGCGAATAGGCGTTAGCCAACATCTGTGGATGGTCCATTTAAAACCTTAGACAGAAACCTTAGAGCACATATTCATGAAAAGTACTTTCACAAAACAAGTCAGAAAGTAATAAAGAACACCAGACGCAAACAATTCAAGAACTCATCCTGTCATTTGTCTGACTGCCAGTCTTTCTAATGTCATGCATTCTGGTGTCTTTGATTGAATAAAAATAGGTATTAGTACTAGTTAAAAGCAGCTAAGCTACACTCATCAGTCATTCCTGAAACAACAGTCCAAACCAGAACAGTCATTTTTTTATCCTAATAAGTCCCTCCACTCACCTGTTTAGCCGTCAGCCTATCAGAAGCAGCCGCACGGCGACCTCTTCTAACCTTGATATAAGCCGTGAATTTTCATGATCCGATTTTCATCAGGCACCCTAATGGTGTCCTTGCCATTTAAGCACCTCCGGCTCATTCCCAGAAACGGGGCTGTTGATGCCGCTTTCCTTTACCAGGAGTTGAATTCATTATCATTATTTCTCCCCAACTATAAGTGTGTAAGAGTACTTTTATACATAAAGCCTTTGAAAAGAAGAGGCTGTGTTCTTGATAGCTGAATTTAATATTTTAATATTTTTATTTACAAACAGATTATTTTCCATCACCTGCTGCTGAAATTCAAAGGAGAATGTTTGTGTTTGTGTCCATGTGTCAATTCATGTTGGACAAATTTTAATGTACCTTATAGAAATCATTCACTGTATTTCGATTAACATGAGAGACTAGGGCTGAGTATTGTTAATAACTTCACAATTCAATTCGATTTCAAGTCTTTGGGTCACGATTTGATAAAAAAAATTGCTTCAAATGCTTCCATATCAGTTTCATAAGAAAAAGTACACAAAAAATTCATTAGCGTCCTTGTGGTGTACATGCCAACCCCTTTGAATGTTTACCTGTATCTTAACCTTATATTAAAAAAAATCTTACTACTTTCACACAATACAACTAAGGATGGAGTAGACAATAAGAGTGTTAGCTGCAGAGATAAAAATGTTTGCAGCAACAGAGGAGCAAGAAATGTAGGACAAGGCTTTGTCAACCATACAGWATTTCCTTACAGCCTGCCGCTATGAGAATTAAATGAATTAGAAACGGGTTTTTTTTAATCCATAAGGTTGCACTATATGTCTGTATCCATGCAAAAATTGGAGAAAACCTGAGTGATTTATGGACARTCCGTACAACTTGACATGCATTCTGCGGACAAGATATTTTAGTTGTTTGTTTTTTTTTAAATAAACAGGAGTCATTAATATGAATGAGAAACAAATGATCTGAAAAAGAAGCAGTAGCACAATAWTACCAAGTATGGAGTGAAAACATAAAAACATGACAAACTGGCCAGGGGATTGAATCAAATCAGAAGATTTTTTAAATTGATATTGAATTGTAAAAAAAAAAATTGCAGTGCATTGATGAATCAATATTTTAACCTAACCCTGTGAGAGGCAATACAATTTAAGATGGCTCCCTCAGCAAATTAWCATTAGCAAGAACAAAAATGCTTGAATATAAATTTTTGTTGTTCAWTTCTTATTTTCTTTAAAAACAAAAAAGAACCATCTCTTGAAATATTAGTGTTTTTTATGTTGATTGTGGGGTGATGGGTGGGGGTGATAGTGGTGGTGGATATGTTTGCTCAAGGCTGTGATCCAATACAGATTCCATGCCAGGTCACACTGACACTGTGATTTTTACTTTTCTGCAAGACACTTAGTAGGAGTACCTGCTGAATACCTGCAGAGCTTTAAAAACACTACAAACTCTTTTGTTAGTGAGGGGAAAACAAATAATCAGCCGGTGCTCTTGCTGAGGTGGCAAACCATTTAATCAACCTTGGTTGTCGTTGAATGCTGTTAAGCACGGAATGCATCGACTGCTGATAGTAGTCGGGTGTCATTAAAGACTRCAGCGGCCTCCGTGTCCCAAACTGCGTCGCTAATTTATCCGGCCTTATTTTATCCCATGCAAATGCTACCGTGCAGAGAAATTGTCCGATTGCAAATTGAATCCCACGGGACCGGATTGGTGTTATCTGAGCCCGCTGGATACGGGACGTCCATTAAACCTGCCAACGTCAAATTGACCTTCATTAAATTTTGTTTTGCTCTGCTTTCATACAAAGATTAGGATCGTTTGTCACTTCTGTCATTTTGATTGTATCTCGGTGCGAGACGGAAACGACAGCTATCCCAAATTGCATTTTAGCGAAGGTCCAAATTGTGTGCGTCTGTGAGGAAGTGCTCTTTCATCCATTTAGAGAGGCTGAGGAAGGTTTCTCTTCGAAAACCACAAGCTATAATTAGATCACGACATACAGATATGTTGGAACAGCTTTCTGAAGCATCACAGTGACAAACTAAGAAGGCAAATTTACAGCGGTTAAATAAAGAGTCTTAACTAGTACATATGTTTTCCTCTTTTCCCCCCCCCCAAGAAATATTTTGAGTTTTATCCTTTTTGGCTTTTCTTTGGTCCCTCATGGCTTCACTGAGTTCACACATTCATAAGAACCTTTCAACTAAATTAATTTGGGACCCCTATTTTCCAATCAGAGGCACAATGGAAGGATAATAAGGTGTATAGACGGCATGATTGATGACAGAGACTCAGAGAGCGGCTGTGCGTTTGAGTGGGAGGAAAAAGATTAATAWGATAGTGTATGGGCGTATCTCAGAATGCGCATGCGTTGGTGATATGCTGGAACTTTTATTTTTTCACAGAAATCTCAAGTAAACAGTGTCATTAACAAACAACTCCTGGAGTGTAACCACAGGGAGGACTCACGTTTGGGAAATGGGTATTCCATTTTGTCCTATGTGACCCAGAAATAGYAGGTACTTTAGAAGAAAAATATAATCGACTTGAAGAGATATGCTCTCGTCGATGGCTACATTTAGAATGCACAGCAGGTATTGTGTGTATTCTGAGGTGTGTGTATGTTAGTTTAGCCAGCAGGGGGTCTCAAACTCGAGGCACCATAYGTGCCCACTTTAGTCACACCTGCCAACGCCGACTGATCCTCTTTGAACTATCTTCTCTTAAACTRACACATGGAAAAAAGGAGGAGAAAGAACTCCTGTCTTCCTTTTTACAAGCGGTACCAAAATATACTTCTTTCTCAAACATGAATGAGGTACAACTTAAAATGGAAGAACCTTTTACTCTTTTCTTTATAATTTAGGGGTTTCAGGGATTTTTGCCTGAAGCTGCTCTACATATTTGTGACAAACTTAAGTTTGGAGGGCTTTGGTGTTTTGTTGGATATGTAGTCCCAAGGCTAGTCCACACTCCACACACTGAGCTCTTAGCTCTGCCTTGCTTCCCCCGTTCACAAAACCATATTTGATAAAGTCTGCATTATACTTGCTTAGAATTTTTTTTCTTTTTTGTCTTCATTTTTTCCTTCAACTTATTGTCTAAAATGTTTCCAGTTCTCTAACTTTTGCTAGCGGCTGGCTATGGTTCTACTTTTACGTATTAAAAGCACACTACTCTAGACAGATAACAGTAATGGTCCAGGTGTTTTTMATTTAAAACCAATGCAATCCCATGGCCCTTAAAGCCCACGGTAGAAAAATACATTCTACTTTGAGGCCCTCGAGGTGGCAATCGCAGCTTAATTATGGGTTGCAGCCCAAGAGTTAAGGATATTTTCTCAAATTTATATGTTCACTTTGTTTGTCTTTATTTCTGTTTTATTTATCAGAAACCTCCTCCTCTGTTATGGTGTACATGGATACTACGACCTCAACAACAAGGACCACGACTCGTACTTCAGCTGTTAGCCCAACATCCACAACAATACGGATAACGACTACCAGGATGCCTTCGACAACAACCGCAGTGGCCCAATGGCCACGGACCACATCGACGATGTYGGCCCCGGTTCACACGCTCATAGAAGCTTTGGAGCCAGAAGAAGACGACGGAACGTCGCCATCTTCTAAGCTTCCTAACATCAGGGTGGAATACTGTAATCCACTGGTGACAATGGACATCAACTGGTCCAAGACCAAGCAGGGCACAGTGGCCAAAATGCCCTGTCCATCTGGAACCATAGGTATGGCAGATTGTTCTATTCAGTCTCAAACATCTCTCTGTTTAAAACTGAGGATCTATTGCTTATAAAATACAGATATTGTTTCATTATTTCCTTTGTCTGTGAAGATGTCAATAATCTYCTTAGGAGACCCGGTCAGCTGTGAGCCTCTACGCCTCGATGTTGGTTGTTTGTGTTTTGTTTATGTTTACACTCCCCCTGCAGCACTCCTCCTCTGACTTCCTGTCCTCCCTTCTCACTCTTTTATTACTGACTCACTGATGCRAGGCTAAAGATAGCGTGGTATTACATTTATATGAAAACTAGTGCATCACACCCCAGTATTTACAGCTTGCGATTAATTCTGAGCTCTCTGAAAGAGGTTTTTGTGTGTTGTGTGTGTGTGTGTGTGTGTGTGTGTGTGTGTGTGTGTGTGTGTGTGTGTGTGTGTGTGTGTGTGTGTGTGTGTGGAGGGGGGGGGGGGTATCAGATGCTGGGTTCATGTCTCTGCACATGTATTTCCATATCTGTATCTGTATCAATTCTAATAGAATGGAGTTGAGAAAGATTTAAGATAAAACCAATGTTGGCCACTTTGCATGTAAAGGATTTTCTGCAAAAACAAACAAAAAAAAAAAAACAAGATGGAATACCTGAGTGTCTGCCAGAGAGAGCTGTTCATATTTTAATGATCCAATTAAAGAAAAAAAAGGTTATGATCACTGCTAGAAGATAATATCCAAACAGTTATAAGTTTCTGCTGTCAACCCTGATTTATGAGCCAACAGGTCAGTGATGTTAGGGCATTATCATCCCTCTACACATACCTCTATAACTAATTATTGTTTTGAATCAATACATTTCAAGATGACCACTGCAGCTGATCGACTAGCCATCTCGAAAATGGCTTTAACACAATCACTTTTACAGAGCCTGACCAAAAGTTTAATATGGTAGTAGCTGAAAATCATTTCCAACACATACTCTGATCTTGAACTCTTGCGACCTTGCATGGGGTTGTGATAAACGTTGTTTTCGAGGTTTGACCAATGCAGACACAACTACATAATTTGTCAACGCCAGATGAGTTATGTAACCTGCACACACACACACACACACACACACACA